CATTGTGCAGAATGATGGGTGCTAATTTTCGAGAATTCGGTTCAGATTTTGATATAGCTCCCATATATATTAACCCCAAATTAGCACCCCGATATATGAATCAATATCGAATTTATACTGTCTACCGATACCAAACATATCAGGAGTAAAATGATGCTATGTTTTCCCAAAATCACATATCAAAGCTCTCCACTTCATTTAAAATGGATTATATTCTCCATTTGATTAATAAGTATCCTATAATATTTAATACTTTTATATGACCAGTCCTTCAGTTTTAAAGATTTGTTCAAATGTTTTAGGATAGCCGTTTTTACTATTTCATTCATTTCACATTGACCATGACAGTCATTGAAAGCCCATTCCAATTTCAAATTTCTTTTATTTTATGAATGGCAAATCGTTGTCAGACAAAGTCATTTTAAATTTGTGTCTTAAAGCGTTGAGTCTATTTTTTTAAAAGAAAGTGTTTTCCATAACAACATTAAAACCCGTTGTCTGCTATTCTCAAGGCCATTCATTGCTCAAAGTCATTTAAATAAATGTTTTTCAAACCATTGCAACTGCTTTTATATCATTTATGTTATTTCTCTTTGCCATTTATTCGTTCGAATAAATAAATCGAACATTAATCTTTAAAATAAACCACTAATGCCAATGATAGCTTGCTTCAGTAGCTTTGGTTTTCGGTTCTGTTATCGATTTCTAAAGTGTATGCTTCCTCTTCTTTATTTGCAAAAATGTATTTTCTAAATTGCCTATTGATTACAAATACTCCCTAAATAATTTGACTATTTATCAGTTTTCTGGTCTACAACAGAGATTTTGTTTTTTTCCAGAGGGTTGGGGATTTCGTTCGTATGCCACAGTGCATGTATGAATGCTCTTTGTATCCAGCTTTTGCCTTTGTTCGTTCAGTGGCACAGAAATAGCTATGGCGTTTTAATATTTCAACTTCATTTGCGATTTAAATCTTTTTCAATAGAATCATTTACAATGTGGCCACAAAAATTCTCTGGCTTTGGCACTGCCACTTATCGTCCCCAGACACATTCAAAATATACAAAGAGGACCTTTCAGAAAAATAAAGTGAAATATACTGGCTGGCAACGAGTGAACAATGCTATAGAATGTTCGCACAGACATAGGGAAGAGAGTTATTTTTTTTTAAATTTTGTGCTAAAATAACCATACAAAGTTGATTGTAGAGTCATACGTACTGGAGTGAATGGAAGGTTAGGTTTTCGTTTGAATAGATGGAAGGGTTCATGGGAATTATTGGTTAAAATTTATAAAAAGTACTGTAGAGAGAAATTTAATCTTCTTTAAATGTTGTTTTCTTCTTTAAGATTCAGATATTAAACACGCAGTAAGAAGACGGAAATTTCCTGACAATACATATAATAGTTAATGAGAATTAAAGACAAAAAGTCAAAACTTTGCCAAAATTACACATCTCTTTAGTGGTGTTGGTATAGGGAACACACATTGGAAGCTATAAAAATAATCGAATGAAGACAAACGAGTCAAAAAAAGCCTTACAGTTTCATTCGATCCCCTTTTATACCCTCTACCATAAGAGGGATTGTATAGTGTACATCGAAAAATTCAACTTTGAACCCATATTGTAAAATATTCCTTATTAACATAAAATTTAATGAAAGAAAGTACAAAATTCGGACACTTTAAGGTCTTTATTGTAAACCACATTTACGCAAATGCCGTCTTAAACCCAGTTCCAATATATTAAAACGAAGTTAAAGGTTGAAACAAATGTAATATTGCATCCTACCTGGTTACACTGATTTATTATCAACCTGCAAGGAATAGTCAAAGTTGGACGGGGCCGACTATTTGATACCCTGCACCACGTTGGTTGGGTACATACCAGAGATGCTTATATGAACAATATTCTGCAGATACGAGTAGAACAGACATACCATCTTTGGAGGACCAATGAAAAAGCATTTGAATGAAGTCGTGCAAAATAATACGTATGAGCAATATGTAAACCTGGACCTAAGTGAGCCACCGTGACATACGCGAATTTTTATGCTGCAGCACAGTCAGCTATCTACAATTTTATCTCATTAGGAGAATTCTCTGCAATATTTCACATAAAGCGAACCAACATAGGCTTCTCGGTGCGTCATTTGGTAAATCTGAACCAATTTCAACGAAACTTTACATACGTCATTCTAGACATTTTCATAAAATCGGTCGAAAATATATATATAGCAGCTATATCTAAATCGGAATCGATTTCAACAAAACTTTACAGACATCAAGCTGGACCTAATTCTGTACGTTGTGCAAAATGTTGTCCCAATCGAACAGATATTGGGACTTAATTTAATACGCTGTGAAAATGTTATCTCAATCGGACAAACAGTGGGAGTTTGGCACACTATATACATAAAATCGGACAAAACTATATATGTCCGATTTTATTATTACTATTACTACATCTGAACCGATTTCAACAAAACTTTTCAGATATAAAAGTGGACATAATTCTGTACGCTTTGCGAATTTGGTCTCAGTCGGACAAATATATGGGAGCTATATCTAAATCTGAACCGTTTTTCCCCAATTTCAATAGGGCTCTTCTGTGAGCCAAATAAGAGACTTGTTCGAAGTTTCATCCAAATTGTATTATAAATACGACCTGTTCTATGCCCACAAGAACACAGGGACAGACAGATGGACATGAATAAATCAACTCAGAGAGTGATTCTATGCATATTTTCAAAAGGAACCATGTGTCTATCTCGTTTCCTTTTACCTGTTACTAACATATGCACAAATGCAAAATACCCTGTAGCATTGTAAGGTGAAGGGTATACACATTCATTTATCCGATAAATAATCGAACGTTGTTACGTATATGTGTTATCACAAGAATAGCAATTAAACACACCGACACCATTTCCATTGCAACTAATCGCAAAATTTGTGTATTAATCGTCATATGACAGATGGTAGACTACAGCTGATCTAAACATGTTGAAATCACGATCAGCCACGATTTCTTATAGTCCCAACATAATGGTACAACTAAATTTTCAGTAATTTGAAACCCTTAATCACATTTTCTGCCTAAGAGGGCATCATTTTGGTTTTCCGGGCTCCTTGTAAGTAAAAACATATCGACGCCTTCGAACCATAGTATGCTAAGTCTGAAAAGTTAGTTTTTCAGTAGAAGCTCTCAAAGTATGGAAGTTTCATATATCTTACGGGCCATGCTAAGTACATTTTTGCTTATAATTGTGGTTTGGATTGGCCGATGATTAACAAAATTTCAGAGAATATAAATTAAGGACCGTAGTATCTAAAAACGTAAAGAACTTTAAAACATGCTAAGTCGATTAGCATACTATGGTTCGGAGGCGTCGATTTTTGCAAAACATTTGTAATTGTTGTCTTATCTACGATTTGACAATTCATTTTATTAGAGGAATAAATGCCAAAAATTCGACCCGATTAATATTCACATAATTTTTACTGTCTGTTGAAATCACGAAAGAACACTATGGGCCAGAGATTCCATCTATTGACCATAATTAGACCTGGGTTTATGAAATAAATAAATGTCACATATAAGGGCTTCGTGGACGCTGCTTACGATTTTGCAAGAAAAACGTAAAAATTTAATTGGGTTGATCGAAAACGGCGGTATTTTTTTTATACCCTACACAACTATGTTGTCAGGGTATTATAGCTTTGTGCAGCCCCATAAGTTTGTAACGCCGCGAAATATTGGTCCTAGACCCACCTTTAAGACATGTGTGTCCGTCCGTCCGTCTGTCCATTATGATTTGTAAACACGATACAGGCCACAGTTATGGACCAATCTTCACGAAATTTTGCATGTATGATGGGTTGTGGCCAATGAAGACCCCTATTGTTTTTGGTAAAGATCGGTTAATATTTAGGGGATGAAATGGACCAAACACTTTATTTATGTCTGATTTTCTGGTCACTCCAGAGGCTGCAATTATGGCCCAAACATCACGAATTTTTATATTTAGCGGGTCAAATGGACCCTGACTTTTGTGTGAATAATTACAAAATTTGTACTCAATGGCGTATATATTTACTTCTGAATGACATAGATCCGAGTAGTTGCTAGTATATCCAAGAGGAGTGGTTAGCCTTTAAATTGATAACAATTATATTGTCGTATGTACCCCGATGTGCGAGTTACATCCTTAAATATTTACAGGTGGTTACGTGTTCAGATATAATTTAGTAACCCATTACCACATTGGAGGGCGGAAATATAGCGCTGATCGCTTTGACGTTATCCATGAGGTTCCAGTTATGGTCAAAAACAACTTCCATAATTTTCGGAGATGTTCAGATAATAATCTTGGGATGAAGTGGACCAAAATCTTATTTTATTTTTTCGGGTAGCCCTCATATAATGGTACCACCCTTTATATTGCATTTTGGTGGTTTTGAGTCCGTTCTTCATCCGAATTGGCTCTAATGTTATTTGCAAAGTTCCCATGGAGTGTTAAATCTTTCCAAAATTTATAAATATCTGTACCAACTCATTTTCCCCCTCCCTTTCCCATTAAGAAAATTGTGTTCGTATTCATTGCCCTACCAGATGTATTTATATACAATTATATTTAATTAAATTATATATGTTTATCAAATTGCTACAATCGAAATGATCACACAAACATATGTAGACAAAAACACTTCATACAACTGTTATCAATGGAATACATTTTAGTAGTGTCAACAATTAAAACGAACTTATCACGCCTTATCAATTTTATTTACTTGATGTTGTTGCTGCAGTTATTGTTGTTCACTATATCAAGAGCACTGACATGCAATCAACAACCCAACCGATAATTCCAGCATTTAATCCAAACTTTTTTGTTTTGTGGGCATTACTAGTGTATTTTTGGCAGCTGTGATGCAGGCCCGCCACACATGATAATTGTGTGTATCAGTTTTAGTCGAAAAGCTCTCACGCCAACAACATGCTCTGGCGACAATTCAAAGCAAATTTCAATTATACAAATCGCAGGGCCTCAACAAAATTGCTTTTGTACAGCAATTGTTTCGCAAATACCCTAAACCGTTTATTGGGCACACAACTGATAAACGATGGCCGGGTGTTGGTCGTTGAGGACGGCAGCGCAAAAACGACCCAGTCACCGCGCTCCATGAAATTTCCAATAGTGTGGCTTCGGGACAATTGCCAGTGCAGTGAATGTTTTCACGGCACGACCCAAAGTCGTAAAACCAATTGGGAGCCTTGCAACAACATTGCAGCACGTGCAGCCAAAGTAGTTGCCAATGGTGAAAAGAATGCAATAATCATAGATTGGCAAGATGCCCATAAATCCGTATACGATTTGCAATGGCTGCGAAAGCGCGACTTTTCTCCGGAACAGCGTAGCGCATATATTGAAGGTGTCTATAAGCCAAAGGAAATCGTTTGGGGCAAACAGGAATTTGCCGATGTATTGAAAATTTACGATTTTCATAAGATTATTGCGGATGATACAGGTAAGGTCAAAACGGGCGAACAAAAAAGCGACTAAAAGTGTTGGGTGTTGTCAATGACAGTTGCATATGCATTGGTGTGTGTGTGTGTGAGGTGGAAACAAAGTACCATTACTGATTGTTGGTTAAGGTTTATATTTCGGAATTGTGCAAGTTGTGCATGAAAGTACATACAGCTCAACATGGGAATAATCCCCTTAATCCATGTTTATGGCCGAATAACCGAAACAAAACGGACGATGTAAATGCAGAGTGAAATGCAATTAAATACATAATCGTTTAGCAATAATTTAAGTATAGTTTTAAACAAAACAAACATCGTTTTATTTTTTGGTGTTGAAATGTTCAATTTAAAATATAGGGTGGATGTTCAATATTATACCTATATAATATTCAGGATGCTACAAATAGATGGATATGTAGGTGTTGAGGTTCCATCGATTAATGTTATCGATAAGTCCATTTATTGGTACCTCAACGATTACTTATCAACATCAGAGAATACCAATTGCTAAGGAATAAGAAGCAGAAAGCTTTAATAATTTGCCGTAAATATACTGAGATTTTTTTAAGAAATAGAACATTAATTCAGACGTCTTTTAAAATTAAGCAAGTGTTTTATTTTACTCAACCACCACCAGTTCCTAATTAACAACACGTAAGTATCACCTGCATACTTGTTGTGTTGTCTAATATTATTTTATTGTTGTTCGTCTTTGTGCAACAAATACTTTCGGCTTTAAAGCTACTCTGTATATTTAGAACCCCAACAAGTCCATACGCCTTTATACCGATCGTCATATCTCGACTAGCTGAGTCGATCTAGACATGTGTGTCCGTCCGTCTGTCCATTATAATTTGTAAACACGATAAAGGCCACAGTTATGAACAAATCGTTAGGAAATTTTGGACGTAAAATGAGTGCTGGCCAAAGAATACTGCAATAGTTTTTTGGTCGCTCTAGAGGCCATTATTATGTCCCGAACATCACGAAATTTTGCATGGAGAAGAAGATCAGCTCAAACAATAAGCGTGTCCGTTTTGATAAAAATCGGTTAATATTTATGGCTGATGCCTACTAAATTTTGCATGAGGTTCCAATTATAGTCAAAACGACGGCCATAATTTTCAATGATGATTATATGATATTTCGAGGATGAATTGGACCAAAAACTTTATTATTTCTATTTTTCTAGTTTCTTTCGACGTCACAAGTATCACCGGACCATCACAAAACTTTTTTGTGTAAAATAACAAAATTTTAATCTTATGGAGTAAATTTTTTTCTCCGTAAACAATTTTTCGGAAAAAACACCGCAACGGAGCTGTTGACTAATTGGCCAAGAGAATGCGAATATTGCGGAATGTAGGGTATCCCACGGTAGAATTCTCAACACTGTGGTACAGCGTATTATTTACGTATTTGTACATTTGTTTTTAACAGGCAAAAGGAATCGAGATAAACCCATGGTTCCTTTTGCGCAGAGTACTGAATTAGGTCTAGGTTGATCTATAACAAGTTTTGTTGAAATCAGTTCAGATTCAGATATAGCTCCCATATATATTTTCGACCGATTTTGCACCATACTGCCAATATTGGTTCTATTGAGATACAATTTGGAACAGAGTACTGAAGTAGGTCAAGATTGATATATGCCAAATTCTTTTTGAAATAAGTTCAGATTTCGATATAGCTCCCATAGAGTAAATTATAGCCACCAAAGTGTAAACTATAGGCCGATTGGCAAAAAACTTTGCACAGCGTACTGAATTAAGCCCAGATTAAATATGCGAGGTTTTGTTGGAATTGGTTCAGATTTAGATATAGCTCCCATATATAGTTTCGTTCGATTTTAGGTAAATAGAGCACCATTGTGCCAATATTTGTCCGATAAAGACGAAATTTTGCACAACTCACTGAATTAGGTCCGGATTTATGTAAGCAAAGTTTTGTTGGAATCGCTTCAGATTTATATATAGCTCTCATATATAGCTTCGTCCGATCTTAATTATATGGAGCACTATATTGCCAATATTTGTCCGATAAAGACAAAATTTCGTACAACTTACTGAATTAGGTCCGGATTGATGTATGCAAAGTTTTGTTGGAATCGGTTCAGATTTAGATATATATAACATATCTTCAGTAGTGTTGGCGGTTTATTTGGGATACCATTTGTATTTTGTTTTTGCAAAATAGTCAGACTGAATCCCAGTTTGTTGTTTTTATAAAAAAAGTATCCCATATACAGTTTGGTCCGATTTGAAGTAAATGGAGCAGCATACAGTCAATGTTTTCCGATTGAGACAAAATTGTGCATACCGTATTGAATCCGTGAAGACTTTTTTGGAAATATGTTCAGATTTAGATATATTCCTATATATATTTTCGTCCGAATTGATGTAAATAGCGCACCGAGGAGTGTATGTTTGTTTTGTATTCACGAAATTTAGCAGCGGTATGTAATTTAATCTAGAATGCTTTGGTTAGGTTTTAAATCGCTTCAGATTTAAATATAGTTCACGTATATACTTTAGTCCCATGGTGCACCATAGATCCTGTTCTATTTGCACGATATTTTGTTGTTGAAATCGGTTCAGATGTAAATATAGCTCCCTCATATATTTTTGTTCCATGTCTGTTCGCTTTGCTTGAAATATTGCATAGCGTATTGGATTGAAAACGTTTCATGTTTAAATACAACTTCCACATATATCTTCATCCAATACCATTATGGTTATACACAAGGGGAATACTATGATTTTCTGTAATCTATATACCGATTAAATCCAACTTAACAAGTCTTTTCTATACTTATTTTGTTTATATCATGTTGGTCATTGTTGGTAAAGTCTTCAACATTAACACCGATTTCAATCAAATCATTGAACAATCGATCAAACATTTCACTTCAATCGGACAGACTAAGGGAATGGGCTTTATTAAATCATTTATACAACAAAATTATATATGAGAGCTTTTCGTAAATCTGGACCGTCAGTCCAAAATTTATATGTTATTACCAAATCTACTTAATGTTGTGTGTCATAAATTAAAGTTATGAATATATGCCTTTCAACTATGTATTTCTTTTACATTCTAGAACTTTATAAATGGCTTCATTCGTTGGCTGTCTACGGTGTTAATATTGTAAAAAATGCTCCACATGATACAACGGTTGTTCAACAACTGGGAAATCGCATTGGGCTCATTAAAAAAACTGCATATGGGTATGTATGTAGATCAATATTTATTTTAATTTACAATAATAATTTACGACATAATATTCCTTCAGAGAACAATTTGAAATAAAATCGAAAGAAAATCCCACCAATTATGCTTATCTGATGGTACCTCTGCCGCTGCATGTCGATGTGCCCTATTATGAAAATATTGCTGGGATACACATTTTACATTGCCTTGTCCAGTCGGCTAAGGGTGGAGAAAATACCCTAACCGATGGATTTTATGTTGCCGATCAATTAAGACAACATTATCCTAAATATTATGAGGCGCTGCGTACTACACCTGTTGATTGGCATGATATTGGCAAGGAAGAAGATCTAGAATTTCATAATATTTGGAGAGAACCAGTTATTAAGTAAGTAGGTGAAGAATTAAATTCCATGTTTTAATGGAAAAATTAACGAATTATATTTTTTTTACATTAGCTTGGACGTTGATGGTCGTTTTCATCGTATTAATTTCAATACTATCAAACGAGATAGCCATTTCACGGTACCACTGGAAGCTGTTGATCTATGGTATGAGGCCTATAATAAATTTATAGAAATTGCCACTGAAACTGCTGTACAATTCAAAACATCTCCGGGTGAGGTGTTTGTTTTCAACAATAGACGCATGTTGCATGGCCGAACGGCTTTTGAGGATACCGCTGATAATAAACGCCATCTCATCGGAGCCTATGTTGATTGGGATTATATTTATTCGAAAATGCGTGTTTTACAAAGAAAATTGGGTATTAATCAGGAATAAAGTTTTTTTCGAGAAATAAAACAACAACATCAAAAAATGTAAATAATGTACTATTATTTTATTTGATATGACTATTAGAAATAAACTTTGTTTAGTAATGTTTTGTAATCGGAACAATCATTCTTTAATGGTTTCTAGTATTATTTTACATATGTTAAAACTTAATGTAAAGTTACCTATTACTGCAATATGTTAAGTTCGGCCCGACTGAACACCATGAGGATGAAAATCTAAAATTTATGGAGACTCGTAGAAGAAAACTCATGTTATGATAGGACCTTGAATATACCGAAAAATACATGAGGCAAAGTTGAATAAAATTCTAAAAATATCTTACAGTGGGGCTAGTGTTATATGGGGCTATACTAAAAAGAGAATCAATATTCATATGTTGTATAGTGAGATTTGACAGTAATTCGTTTGAAATATGTGGCCAATATTCTCTTAGGTCAATATTAATAATTTTTAGTGCAGATATATGGTGATACCTTAAGAGTGTAAAAAATTCCCATATTATGGCGTACCATATTATGGGGCTACCCCATATATTTATATTTCGTTTTCTGAAAATCTTTCTTGTATAATTTCATATTTAATCATTTAGCCATATAAGGCCTACATGATATTAGACTTCTTTTTATACCCACACGAATGCTCACTACACGAATGCTCACGGGCGAGAATACTAATGTTTTCAATTTATAGAAAATGACAAAGTTACAATGAATGCACAAGCATTTTCATTCTCTCGCGAATGTTCGCATTGTACGAAAAATTCACGAACGATAAAATTTCGCTGCAAGCGTCGTCGATTCATTCTTTCGCGAGCTGAAGAACATTCTTTTGAGAAACTCAAAAAACAAATGTTCGCGAATGCTCTCGAGCACTGTTAAAAACAACAAACAAAAATATCATAAAAAAGTAAACACACAAACTACTAAAGAATGTCTGTGTGTAGCAGAAAGTGTGTGGAATAACAAAACACATGTCCAACAACTATTGAGTTCACGAACGTTTGTTGTTATTGTTGTTGCCGTTTTGAGCATTCGCGAGAATTCGGGAATGTTTGTTTTCATTCGTGAGAAAATGTCAGAAAGAATTTCAACCACCAAACGAAACGAACGAACGTTGTTGTGTGCTCTCACTCAATTGTTATGTGTGTGCGAACATTCTTTGGCGAATGCTCGTTTGGTATAGAATTTATCGCCATAAATTCATTCGTAAAATGAGCACAAATCAAAAAGCATGTATTCTGAATCATTCGCGAGCGAATTTTTGCGTACCCTAGTATTATGTCTTCATGCATATGTTTGTAACAGACAAAAGGAATTGAGATAGACCCATGGTTCCTTTTGAGAATATGCATAGAATCACTTTCTCAGTCGATTTATGCATGCCCGTCTTTCTGTCCGTCCGTCCGTCCATGTATTTTTGTGAACAAAGTACAGGTCGCATTTATGATCCGATTTGGATGAAATTTGACACAGTTCACTGATTTGGCCCAACAACAAACCCTACTGAAATAGAAGAAAATCGATTCAGATTTAGATATAGCTTCCATATATAGGTTTGTCCGATTTTAGTAAATGTTGCACCAAAGCCCCAATACTTATCCGATCGGGACAAAATTTTGCACAGCGCACTGAATAAGGTCCAGACTGATGTCTGCTAGGTTTTGTTAGATTATGCGAAGTATTGTTAAAATTGTTTCTAATTTACATATAGCTTCCATATATAGTTTCGTCTGATTTGTTGTGAATGATGAACCAAACTCCCAATATTTGCCAATTGGGTCAAAATTTTGAACAGCACACAGAATTATGTCCAGACTGATGTCTACGAAGTTTTGTTCAAATTGGTTCAGATTTAGATATAGCTCCGATATATAGTTTCTTCTCAGTAATAACAAAAACGAATGGTGCAACGGTTGCTCAATTAGCTCCATGTGTTTATATACAGCTCACGTAAATAATTTTACTCGATTTCATACAAATGGTAAACCAAAGTATCCAAGTCTGCCGTTTGGCATGCAATTTTTCATTGATTTCAGAATGGTATGTGTATGGGTTTTTTCAATTGGTTAAAATATCTATCTAGATAGCACATTTAATTTCGCCCGATTCTATGTTAATGGTCCTCCAAAGATTCTATGTCTGTTCTATCTACAGGATATTGCAGATATATTAACATCTCTTGTATTTACCCAAAGTGAAGAGGGTATACAATTATAACCGCCAATATGTCCCAGAGGATTTTATAATCCACAACGCACAAGAAATATTAAATTTCATCAAATTTTAAAGCGAACTTTTGAACTAAAGATATAAAGGGGCTATACTATTACTGAATTGAATTTTTGTAATTCCATAAAACGTGATATTAAACTTATTTTTGAATTTGTAATTCCATAAAATAGATAATTCCTCATTCCTAAGAGCCCTATGTTGAAATTGTTATAATGTTTGAAACACAACGAAACAGTTAAACAATTATTTGTTTAAAATATGCCAATATCGCAATGAGTGTATCAATCTGTTGCTAAAATATCCGATTCTGACCTTGGGCTCTTTTTAATTTTGTTGACGAAATGTTAATGTTTAGTGGTCGCAATCCAATGGCCTTCATTAACTATTCAAAGTAAATATAATAACATTTTGTTTGTTTTCCCCGTAAACCATTTTATGTAAACACGACTTTGTTTTTGGTTTATAAGGTAAGACGTGTAAACAGACCTAAGACAATTATTTGTTAACTAAACAAATAAGCCTACATACACATACATGGTTTTAATAAAACATATCCCAAATGCAAACAAAACGAAATTACATGTTTGTATGAAGTAAGCATACCACATGCCATACTGTAAACATAATTTGGTACGCTACGTAAAGGGTGTTGGAGCACGAATTACATCAAATCGGACGAAAGTATTTATGGAAACTATAATTAAATCTGAACCGATTTCGCCATTCCAGCCTCAATTTGTATTGTTTTAAAAATTTTCGTTTCAATATACTGATACCCTCCACCATAAGTATACTGACAGATACTTGAAATTACAATATATGGAACATACAGAAAAGTGAACTTATACCGATAATTCTACAAACCGGTTTATGTTAACCATTGTGTACAAAAAAAAAAATCAGAAATGTTTAACGAAAACCCCAAAGCGTGGACTGATACTAATAACGCATGGTAGAACATAGAATCTTCAAACTACTGCAATTTAGATTACATAGTGTAGGAATTACCGAATATTTAGGGTTATATTTATATGAAGACTATGCCTAATTATACCCTACACAACTATGTTGTCGGGGTATTATAGCTTTGTGCAGCCCCAAAAGTTTGTAACGCCTTTAAGTATACCGATCGTCATATCTCGACTAGCTGAGTCGATCTAGTCCATTATAATTTGTAAACACGCTACAGGCCACAGTTATGGACCAATCTTCACGAAATTTTGCATGTAGGTTGGATTCTGGCCAATGAAGACCCCAATTGTTTTTGGGAAAGATCGGTTAATATTTAGGGGATGAAATGGACCAAATACTAAATTTTTATCCGTTTTTCTGGTCGCTCCAGAGACCGCAATAATGGCCCCAACATCGTGAAATTTTGCATGGAGAAGGGGATCGGGCCAAAGAATAAGCATGCCTATCCTGATAAAGATCGATCAATATTTAGCGGGTCAAATGGACCCTGACTTTTGTGTGAAAAATGACAAAATTTGTATTCTATAGCGTATAGATTTATCCCTGAAGGACATAGACCCGAGAAGTTGATATTAAATCCAAGACGAGAGGTTGACCTTTAAATTAATGCCAATTATATTGTTTTATGTGCTCGGATGTGTGAGTTAAACCTAAATATTTACAGGTATATCCGTGTTCGTATATTATTTAGTAAACCATTATCACTCTAGATATCGGAACGATAGCGCTGATCGCTTTGAAATGTTCCATGAGGTTCCAGTTATGGTCAAGGACAACGCCTATAATTTTCGGTGATGATCAGATAATAATTTTGGAATGAAGTTGACCGAAAACTTAATTTTTTGTGTTATTTTCGAGTCTATCTGTAGACCACAAATGAAAGCCGAACATCACAACACAACCCACGGGGAAGGGAATCTGGACAGTAGCTGTACTCAATACTCGTAATATTCGGAAAATATGTCATTGTGGGGAAGAGGTGCTGTTTACCTCTAATCGGGCAAGAGGATGCAAATATCACGAAATATTGCCCAGGCTCGGAAGAAACATCCGCAGAAGTTTTGAGTTCCGTGGTAGTTGTGTAGGGTATCGTATGGTCGGCCCCGTCCGACTATATTGCTCCGCTCACTGGTTAATGACCGACATATGTCAATTTCGAACCCAATATTTTTGTTTTGTGTCTCATTATACCCTACACAACTATGTTGTCAGGGTATTATAGCTTTGTGCAGCCCCAAAAGTTTGTAACGCCGCGAAATATTGGTCCTAGACAGCCCCAAAAGTTTGTAACGCCGCGAAATATTGGTCCTAGACCCACCTTTAAGTATACCGATCGTCATATCTCGACTAGCTGAGTTGATCTAGATATGTGTGTCCGTCCGTCCGTCTGTCCATTATAATTTGTAAACACGATACAGGCCACAGTTATGGACCAATCTTCACGAAATTTTGCATGTAGGATGGGTTCTGGCCAATGAAGACCCCTATTGTTTTTGGAAAAGATCGGTTAATATTTAGGGGATGAAATGGACCAAAAACTAAATTTTTGTCTGATTTTCTGGTCGCTCCAGACGCCACAATTATGACCCAAACACCGCGAATTTTTGCATGGAGAAGGGGATCGGGTCAAAGAATAAGCATGCCTGTTTTGATAAAGATCGGTCAATATTTAGCGGGTCAAATGGACCCTAACTTTTGTGTGAAAAATTACAAAATTTGTATTATATAGCGTATATATTTACGACTGAAGGACATAGATCCGAGAAGTTGATAGTATATCCA